TTTTCCCTGCCCAGGGCAGGGGGTTGGAACGAGATGCTCTTTAAGGTCTCTTCCAAGGAAAACCACTCTCCAGACACACTCGCTGCTCACTGAACAAGCCCCTTTCTCCCTGAAACCACGTGGTGACCACCCCTGTGCCACCAACCTGCACGAAAACTGTGAAGAAGATAACTGTGATGATGGCTGTGAGGAACATGTCCCTCATGCCAAAATGCTTGTAGTCCAGGAGGTAACAGAGGGAGAAGGCGATGGCTCCCCGCAGGCCCCCGTAGGCGATGATGAACTGGTCCTTGGGCGTCAGCTTCACGATTCGGAACTTGTTGATGAACCAAGTGAGGACCAGGACGCCTGGGGAAGAGGATCAGGGCCTTGGAGAAGGATGCCCTCCAGCCCAAAAGAGACCTCTGACCCCTCAGGGCCATGGGTGCTGCTCATCCCAACGCCTCTCAGCGGCTTCAACCCCACATCCAGCACCAATGTGGGCTTGATCCCACCTCCCCACAAAGCCAACCACCAGCAACAGTGGAGCAGTGTCACCCAGTCAACTCCAGTTTCCCCAGCAAAGCAAGCATGAGCTTTGTGGCCCTGAGAGTTGCTCACCACCCAGGACCATCCCCAAGGACCTTGCCACCACGCGGACACCTCACCCAGAACTCTGGCGATGAGGCAGAAGAGCAGCGTGCTGATGACGAAGGTCCAGTTCCAGTAGTGGTGGCCAGCCACGGTGGAGACACCCAGGAAGATGAAGATGAGGGTCTCGCTCACGCTGCTCCACATCTTGAGGAAATACTTGATGGTGGTGTGGGACTTGTGGGAGATGTTGGCTTCCACGTAAGGTCGCATGACCACGCCGGAGGCGATGAGCCTGAGGGCAAGGTTGGGACTCTCAGCAGCCATGGGGACATGGGGACAACCCCAACCCCTGGCCCTAAAGCAGCATTTTGTGCTCTTACACCAAACCCCAGAAAGGACAGGGCTTGTGAGATACCAGCAACCATTCAAGGCCTCCAGAGAAGGCAACAGGAGGTTTCTCCTTGCCCCTGGCAGGGCAGGAGTGAGCCCTGGAGCCAGGCAGCACAAACCCACCTTGTCTCTGGAGCACTCAGCAGGCTCTGCCTGCTACTCCAAGCCCAGAAGAACAGGCAACGGGGCTCCCAGTGCCCTGGGATCTGTGGGACACCTCTAGAGAGCCCCTTCCCTCACCTGCCACCAGCCCAAACACACCTCTGCCCCTCACTGGGCAGGGTACTGGTCACGCTGGGACAGCCCGAGGGCTGTGGTTCCAGCGGAGTAAATCCTCCAGAGTTGCCCTGGGGACCCAGCCGTGCCCAACTCACGCCATGATGCCGGAGAGGTGGAAGAGCTCAGCTGAGAGGTAGGCCATGTAGCTGTAGAGGAAGACGAAGAGGGGCTCGATGACTCGGATGTGGGAGGTGAAGCGGGACGTGAAGGCGGCGATCACCCCGTAAATGACGCCCACGAAGACACCGCCCAGAGACACCACGAAGAAGCTGAAGAAGCCGAGGATGATATCGATGATGGTCACCTGCTCGAAGGTGGCAAACTCCTCAAAGAGGTGGTAGAGGACCTGGGAGGGAGAAGGGAGAGGGGAGGGTTCAAACTGCTGGGGCAGATGTGTCTGGGAGAGCTCTGCTCTCCAACAGACCACCAAGCGCTGTCCTAGGAGGGGTTTTGGTCAAGATCTGAAGCAGCCAGAGGCTGTTCCTGCTTCCTAATGAGTGGGTCAGGACAGACCCAGGCTGGTGGACACCTGACAGCCACAGGGATTGGAAAGCCAACATCACAACCCAGAGAAAAGCCCAAACCCTAAATGCAGCTTTGTAGCTAAGCGGGTGACCTTGCAGGAGGAGCCCATGCCAGGCTGTATCACCTCCCACCCCAAGACACAGCTCCTGGAGAGACTTTAAAGCAGAAGCTGACTCAGGAGTGTCAGGATGGGAGGTGGGCTTCACTTGGGAGGTGCCAGCTCTTGCCTGCTGGAGCCAGGTCCTGGGACATGGACAGATGCAAGAGCAGAAGGCAAAAGAATTCTCCAGGGGTGGGAGTGGGGACACAGACCCTTCAGACACCTCCTCTGGTCAAAGGAGGGGAGAAGTGCCTGGGAAGAGCCCCGTGGTGGGACAGCACGTTCCTCACCACCAGGAGCATGCTGAGCAGCCAGCTCTGCAGTGGACAGCTGGGATCTGGGAGATAAGCCAAGGAAAAGCAGTGGGATAGAGGCAAAGGCAGAGGTCAGCTCTGCAGAGGAGGCCACCGCGCCGATGGCCAAGCCAGCAACTGGACACAGATGTCCCTTGGAAACTGCCTGTCCCCAGCGTGGGTGGGCTGGGCCCTGAACCTCCCAAAGGCCCTTCCAGAGCTGCTGCTGCTCAAAGAGTGGGGCTGAGGGGTGACCTGGGTGGGATCCCAGCCTGGCCACAGCCCCCACGGCTCCCCCCTTGCCCACGGCTGGCCACGTCCTGCCCTCCCACCTCCTCGGTGCTGCAGCAAGGAAGACCACGGGAGGAAGGGGCCAGGAGGGAGCAGCAGCTCCACGGTGGTGCTGCCCGACCCAGTGCCAACCCCTCCTGCTCACCCTCCCTGACTCTTCCCAGGAGAGAAGAGCTCCAGGAGACCAAGGTGCTGGGCACAGTCCTGCTCCTCACAGAGAGGTGGCAGCTGGCTGGGCACGTGCTCTCGGTCTCCTCAAACCATCCAGTGAAACTCTTCACCTTAACCCACCCCTGCGGGGTTTTAAGCTGCTCTATTGAGCTTTCTACCTGCAAAAGGTCAGGAGCAGGTGGAGCTGCTGCAGGAGGCACCTGGCAGCTCGTGATGGCCCAGCCTATGGTTCTGCCTGCAAGCCTCGACCCACAGCTACCCATCCTGGTGCCAGCACCCCTAGATACCCCACCAAAGCCACCCCCATCCCTTTGGCTGACCCCCCCCAACTACTTACGACCGTGACGGCGTCGTTGAGCAGGGACTCCCCGAAGACCAAGATGTGGAGCAGCTCGTTGATGTGGATCTCCTCGAAGACAGCCAGCACGGCCACGGGGTCCACGGCCGAGATGATGCTGCCAAAGAGCAGGTTGGCCAGGAGCCCGATGTGGTTCAGGCTGGGGCCGCTGAGCTGGCACACGGCGTACATCAGCCCCCCCAAAAAGAAGGCGTTCCAGAGAGTCCCCACCACGGCGAAGATGAGGATGGTGCCCAGGTTCTCGGTGAACTGCCGCAAAGGGAGGAAATAGCCCGCGTCCAAAATGATGGGGGGGAGGAGGCAGAGGAAGAAGATGTCTGACTTGAGGATGGGAGGCTCTTCCCCGACCCCTTTGATGAGCCCCCCCACCAAAAGGCCCACCACGATGAGCAGGCAGCTCTCGGGGACGATGCTGGACACCGAAGGGATCACGTGGAAGCCTGGAGAGGAGGAGGAGGAGGAGGAGGAGAGAGCAAGACACACGTTGGTTAGGTGAAGGGAGGGTGCTCTCTGCAGGAGGACAGCCCTGCTGGGGCTGGGGACCACTCTGCAGCCCTCCCTGCACTCTTCACACACTTACTCCTCGCGTGCCTCAGTTTCCCCTTCCAACCCCCTTCTTCCCCATGTGCCAAGCTGTAAAGTGGAAACAGACCCACGTCCCCTGGCACTGCTTGATCCCCAGCCAGAAAACAAGAGGGAACTCAGCCACCCTCTGAGCACCCCAAGGGCTCTCAGAGGATGCTCAGGCCCTGTGGCAGCTGCCTGCAGCACAGGCAGTTCTCAGGACACAAGCTGCTGCCAGCTCCAGCTCTTCCCGTGGCAGCCTGGCACGTAGGCTGGTGTTCCCAGCTGGCAGCTGCCTCCCTGGGCACTGCCACAGCCAGCACGCCAGGCTCGGGTGGGAGCTGGCAGAGCCCATCCCTGGGTGTCCCCTGACACAGGGGACAGGGAGGGCACCTCGGGCTCCTCCCTCTCCTCCCACAGCCTCAGGAGCAGGGTGGCAGGCTGCAGGTGGGCACGCTGAGCTGCAGTGATCCTGGGCACGGTGCAGGGCAGGACCTGTCCACACGGTGCTGGGCTATTCCTCGGGGTGCAAGCTAAGGGGAAACTTGTTTCCCCCTTTTAAATCACAGCACGACCCCCAGGGCAGGTCTCAGAGCCAGCGGTGACCCGCTGGGATGACACCCACCCACCAAACCCCCCCAGCCCTGGCACCTGCCAGCAGGGTCGGGCAGGCAGCACGATGCCAACCGACACAGCGCTTCAGCCAACGCACCGCTACCCACGGCAGGATTTGGGCTTTCCTGGATCCTCTCCCAGGCTTTATAAGGATTATTTTGAAGCGAGGCACATTTGTTCCCTGGCAAAGGAAGGGGTTTAAAAGCACGGAGCCCTTGCCTCAGCATCCGGCCGGGCGGCTGTGCCATCTGCACCTCACCTCACAGCAGATGAACACAAAAATCCACCCTCCCCAACGTGCCACCCGCCCGCCCACGCTCCAGAGCTGCTTGGCATCACAGCGAGCGCCCCGTGCCCCCTGGTGAGCCCACAGGGGCTGTGGCTGAGCCTCCTCCACCCACCCAGCCAAGCAGGGAAGGTGACACAGGGATTTTTGAGGTGGGAAAAGCAGCTGGTGCCACAATCCCTCCCCGGCGCCGGGCAGCGACCTGGCCACGTGCAGCTTCCCCACGGCAGGATCAGACCTCGAGTGACAGAACTGCAGAAGGGTTTGGGTTGGAAAAGGGACCTTTAAAGATCAGCTGGTCCAAGTGCCAAGGTTGCAAAGGGGCTCCTGCCACCCGTGTCCCTGGAGTTCCACAGCAGCTGTGAAAATAGGGATTTTAAAGCCCAATCTGTCCATCCTTCACTGTGCTCCCCCAGCCTCCTCGTGACCCCTCTGTGCTTCAGCACTGTATGGGTACTGGGCTGAGAAAAGGGGCTGTGCTGCTGGAATCTCTGTGGACTCTTCACTGATTCCCCTCATTTCTGTTTTACTCTCAGACAAGGACTTCACTGACCTGGGGACTCCTCGATCCCTTCACTTTTCGAGGCAGCAGCACCACAGTTTCCCCTTGGACAGATCTGCCTAGAACTGAGTAGACATTCATTCCTAAAATGTTTGCCTCCCTTTTTACCAGAATTATCCACGCACCCAGTTGTTCCTCCCCTACCCACAACTGGGGCTTCTCCTTCTTTTCCCCTCCTTTTTCCTTCTTAGATGGGTTTAGCCAGGAGTGAAGGATGCTGATAATCTAACAGCATTGCCTCTGAGCCTTAAGGAAGCAACTTCCCAGCCTCCTTCAACAGACCATAACTCCACGGAGCCCTAGACCAGGCTGGGGCTGGGGGGTAAATCCCAGGGACACCAGGCTTAGGACTCCAAAGCTTTGAGGTGCCCTCAGGGTGGCTATAACTTTCTCTTTGGGACAGGAGGAAGAGCTGACGAATTCATCAGGTTCAATTTTCCCCAAATCTCCTCTT